TAGAGCCTACTATAAGCTATTCTATTATCGTACCTTATTTATATACGAAGGTAGTATACCTTACCGCCGTAACTAGAGCGGCTAAGTTATCTTTTCTTAATAACTAAGTAATATTTTTAGGCCGGATTTTCTCGGAAAGTAACTCTATATAACTTATTTCTATATCTATATAAAAATATATCCTATCCCCTTTATTAGTAGGTTTACCGGACCCTATTTAGTACGGATTATTAGTTAAGGGTAGCCCTTAACTAATAATCCGGCTTAACTCCGGCTTCTGGCGATATACTCCGCTATATAGTTAGTCTCTAGCTATAGAGTTACCCTCCTTCTCTAAGACTAGAATATACTCGTCCGGACTAGTTTTAAAGGTTATATATTCTTATCTATATATAGAGTAGACTATTAAGAGTACTTACCTAGAGGCTAACCTCTATACCGTAAGTAAGGCCTACCTAGTATATAGCTCCCCTAGGATAAGGTTATAATTAAGTTCGCTATATATAAATATCGAAGTGGCTATAACGATCCGACCTATATAGATTAGATATTACTATACTATTCCTACGAATAGAGTACTATACTAAGTAGTACTAACTAAACTCGAGTTCTTTATATATAGTAGAAGCGAAGATATTACTAGCCTAAGACGCCTTATAGTATCTAGTCGAATACTATTTACCTACGTACTACTATTAAATAGTACTATACTAGTTACCCTTTTAGAACTAACTTCCATAGGGTACCTTAGACACTTAGCTACTAGCCTTACTATCCCTCCCTTAAGCTAATTAATATCTTATTATATAATAGCTATCCCTATAGTATAGAGGGGTACTAATACGTTAAGTTTATTTATCTTAGGAGCTATAGTATAGTCGTTTCTTTCTTTCTTCTTAGCTCTCTCCTCTTAAGTCTCGTAGACCTCTCTAGCTATAAAGTTAGGGGCGCCCTTCTCGAATACCGCATGACGTAAGTTACTATTAAGGCTTAATAGTTCGCTAATAGTAATATTTATAGTTATCCCTAGAACGCGCACTAGCCATGCTTTACTAGCTTCTATACTTAGCTACTATCCCTCGCGTAGATAGTTATTAAGCTTAACGCCTTAGATACGTGCCTTTTAACTAGAATTTAGGCTATCCCCTTTATCTATCTTATTCTTAGACGCCGTTAGCTCTTATTTAGATATTCTCTAGTCGCTACTCTTCTTACCGTCCTCCTATTCCTTAATAATTCTTATATACTACCCTTTACGCATTCCGCGGAGATAGGTAATCTTTCTTTCCTTAGTATAATTAGGTATACTCTTCGTAATCCCCCTTCTAGATATTATAAGTATAGCGGGCTCTTCTAGAGCTATTTCCTTATAGATATATCTATTACTAGCTATGTCGAAGCGTTTATAGAATTCTATATATCTATCTTTCTTACTCTCGGGCGATATAACTTCTTCTTCCGAATCACTATCCGCTAAGGCCTAGTAGGGACCCTTTATAGATTTTATACTAATACTATATACTAGTACTCCCTATAAAGCGTTAATATTTACTATAGACGTAGAAACCTTTACTCCCCCTCCGTACTAGCTTAGGCCGTTTTAAACCGTTACTATATAGTTCCGGATAGCTTATAGAGTAGCTTATAGCCCTACTAAGAAGGGTAGTAATAGAATTTCTTCTCCGTTCGCCCTAAAACGCCCTTAGAATACTTATACCCTATTAATATTTAGTAATCCGTCTCTAATGTATCCTACTATCTCTAGACATCTATATATTAGGTAATCTCCTCCGTACGTAATGCATATAATTAGTCTTCGAGGCCTATCCTAGACTATAACGCCTTCTTAGAAGTCTCGGGTAGAGATATATTCTCTATTCTATATATAATTCTATAGATAAACTTATATTAGTTCTATAGACATGCCTTATACTTAGAGGTGTATTAAAAGATTTAGCCTTCGCGCCTACTAGTTAATAATAGCCGAAAGTAGCTTAGGTTCGTACTTCTTAAGAGATAGGAATAAGAGATTAGAGGTAAAGTAGGACTTTATCTTAATTAACGTGAGGTCTAGTTTACTAAATCTCTCTACCATCTCGTTAAACTTATCCGATTCTAGCGTGATATATACTTCGACTAGAGAGGGGTAGCTAAATTTATTAGTTCTTCTTTCTTTATATAACTACTCTTCTAAGCTAGTCTTCTTACTCCCTATCTTTAATTTATAGTATATGGCTATAGCTAGCTCTTATACGGCTAAGTACTTATTAATATAAGCTAGTTCCTTAAGTGCTCTAGCCTTTCGTGATACGAAGCCATAGATAATTACCTAGTTATAACTATATACTTCTATTATAAGTTAATATTTCTCTATAGCCCGAGCCTTAAGACTATTAGATAGCCCTTCTAGGAAGAGCTCTATTTATAAATACGAGCTTAGGCTTCCTTTAGCCGTAAGTTTCTCCGTAATAATACGATACTAGGAGTAGTATATAGAGAGAGAGTAGGATAGGTCTACTTTAACCATTTCTATATATTTTTAGATAAAGTGGATGGTACCTTCCTTAAGGGCGGAGTTAAATAGAGAGAATTCCTTTAATAATTCTTCACGTAGTATAGCCTACTACTATTTCTAAAACCTATCTATTCCTTTAATAGTAGAACGGAGATAGTCCTCGTAGTATAACGGTAGAGAGGTTATCTTCTTATTAGGCGGAACTTTATAGTTTATATATATGTCCTCGTACTTCCGAAGGAAGGCCGTAATGTTTATTTCTTTAAAGTGCTTAGGGGCTAGAGTAGATAGAGATACTATTCTTCCTTATCGCGTAAATGCTACGAAGAAGTTAAGTATCTCTCTACGAGTTACTAGGTTATTATTTTAAGCTCCTATTATACTATTACTAGTAGTAGATATACTAGTAGAGACGCTAGGGGTAAGGTTATTAGTTAAGGGATTACCTTAACTAAAGGTTAGCCTAATGCGTCTACCTATAACACCTATCATCCCTTCTCCATGTTAATTAATCCCTTTATAAGGTGAACTATTACTATTATCTTCATCGATATAAGGTTTATAGTATTCTACTTATATTATTATCTTCGTGTAAGGCGTTCCTAAAGTAGTATACTCGTATAGCCGTATTTATAAATAATAGCTATAGTAGTACTAAATAGGTTATATTTATCGTTTTTGAACTCTTCTTTACTACTTTATCTAGCTCTATTTTATATTCTATTCCCCTAAGACATTTTCGAGTCGCGCTATTACCCGTATTAGCATGCGTATACTTTTTATAGCTACTTTTAAGAGGCTAGCCCCTAGCGACTCCGGACTCCCTGTTTTCTAGACTTATAGCTTCGATCTAGTAAGTCTAGACTACCTTATTAGGCACGCTATATACTTCCCCTAAGCTAGTTTCGGAGTCCTAATCTCCCCCTATAAGTTTATAGTCCGGGTATAACCTCTAAAATTATAATAAGCTATTGCTACGTATATCCCTTTTATAAATAGTTATATTCTTAGTATAGTAGTCGCGACGAACTCATAAGTATCTCTCCTAGGTATTATAAGTTCTCTTTAAACGCACGACTTCTTATTAGTTCTCTTTTATAATAGGATGGGTCTATATAATACTCTTAATTAATTTATTAATAGCTAAGCCTAATAATTAATACCTATAGAGGCCCATGAATATAAGGAAAGGTCGAATCATTGAATATTAGTAATGGGGGAAGCGTGTCGAGTAGAATGACCAAGGAAAACGCCCTTCTTAAATATATAATAAGCCATGTAATCGAGCTAGGGACATATATATGTGGGGCTGTAGGAGCGGCCTTCCATAGTAGTCTAAGGATAGGTTTTAAACCTTATACGGTCTAGTTCGACCGAACGATAGATATTAACGTCCACGCGTAGGAACTAGCAATTAAAATCTTTAAAACCGTACGTAACTATCGCGTAATAATCTAGTAAGTAAATAAGTCGTATATAAAGTACTATAATAGATTAGTTAAAGATTAAGCGTATGAGAAGGGAGACGAAGTCCTCCTTAATATCTATAATATATAAACGTCGTAAGTAAATAAAAAGCTCGATTATAAAATGGCTAGTCTCTTCCGAATTAAACGTTGTATTAGTATAATAATAATAATATTAGTGTTTAACTAGGAAGAACTATATATATAGCCATATATATGCTCCACAGGCTTAGGCCTCCTCTAGTATTGGCTGCTATGTATACAAGAAAACCTCCTATAATTAGCTCCCTAACTAGACCCTATTACTAATCTAACCTAGCCTAGTCTAAGTCCTTGAATCCCATTGGGTGACAAACTTACTTTCTTATCCTTATATTAGGCTTTTATTACTATATTGGTACCGGCTCTTAATAACGCCCTAACCAACTATAGTAGGTATTACCTTTCTTGTGATTGGGCAGGTCGCTAGGCTAGGCCTAGTCTTTTATTCCTATGTTACCGTGTTTTTCCTATCCATGGGAATATAGCTTTGCGCCGGGCAGTAGTCATTAATTAAGATGACTAATGCCGGAGGGGGTGTATATCTAATAGGTCCATGCCTTAGCACTAACCCTAGCTAGGCCGAATTCGGAAATTGTTCTTCGGGGCTATGTAATCGTCTATGGGTAGGCGGGATACTTGATTGGGTATTGCTGTCTGTTTCGTGGTTGCCGAGCCGGAGTAAGCGCGAGCTAAGCCGGATTGGGGTGGACAAGGCCCCGGTATGTGGTGAAAATTCTATGATTCGAGCTAAGCTAGTTGTGGGTCTAGCCGCTCTAGGCGTCGCTCTGCTACTTAAGGTAGCTTGGTAGGTGGCTATATTAGGTAATTCTCATCATGTGATGACGGTATAGTTATTTTTCACATTACCTAATGGTCGCTCAGGACTAAGTAGTCATGTGACGGCAACCTTCACGTCACGTGCTCGCTTAGCCCCGTATACTTTTAACAGAGCGTGCGAAAACTAGTGTGTGAAAAGGTAGCCGTTATAGGATTCGAACCTACGACGTTGGATAACAAACGCTTCTAGTAACGTAGCACACTACCACTACGCCACCTGGCCGTCGTATTAGTATAAGAGTCTACGAGCTTAACCTAGGAAATAATATAAAAGTCTATAACGTATTCCACGTCTTATTACTTAAAAGGTTTTAACCTAACGTATATAAACGCACGAACATATAATTATACTCTATTATACCCTAAGATAGACTAGACGTATACGAAGTAGACTATATTATCGAATATAGGCTTAACAAGAACGGTATCTAAAAGTATTAAATCCGTTGGAAGAACTACACCGAGGATAAGGATACCTAGGAATCTACGGTATATATCTTAAGTACCGCGATAGCTATATATAAATAGAGGTTATAGAATAATACGTTACTACCGTAAACCTAGCGCCGTCGGGGCCGTTATAAAAAGAAGAAGAATACCGTAGAGAACAAAGTATCGAATCACGAATCCTAAATGTATACTAGGAAAACTCTATAAGGCAGCCCTATAATTTAAGCGATATATAGTTACTAAACGCGAAGAAAATATAAATAACCGTTATAGGCACGCGACGTAATATATTATAATAGAATAATATAGAGAAGTCTAGAATGGACTAATATAGACTATTATACACGAGAAGAACATGGGACTAAGAAACTAAAAAGGTACCCTACTACGGAATTGAACTTATAATATATAATATAAAAGGTTAGAGTACCCGAACCGATAACTACTAGGCTACTAGTTTAGATACTCTAATATAATTTAGAGAGATAAACTAATTTATATACGATGCCTATACTTAAGTAACTTAAAGGAAATTAGAACCTAAAATTTAATAGTTATAGAATAAATAAGAATGTATATAATATCATTAAGTTAAGAATTAAATTACTAGAAAACTAGTAGATGGGTATCTAAACGGTCTAAAAAGGACCAAAACGGATAGAAACCAGGTAGATAGAGCCAACACACACTATATAGAAACCCTAGTAAATAGAGCCATAGAGCTACTTCTCTATCTTATTATTACTCTTAGAGCGTAGCGAATAAACTAACTAAGTAATAGAGCGACGGAGGTTAGAGACCTTATCCTCTAGAGTAACCACGCGCTCGGTTAGAGCCTAGTAAGATAATAACTAAGCGCTAGAGCGGAGCGACTAGACCTAAAGTTAGCTAATACGGTCTAGAATAATCTAGAATAGAATATATACCCTCTTATAAGGTAACTTAGAAGAAGAACTAGTAGATCTCTTATAAGACCCGTTAGTAGCATAAGGTAGGCGGAAAGGAATAGCACGAATCTCTTCTACGGCCTTAGTAGCTAAAACTAACTCCCTAGAATAGATAGCCTAAGCGCTAGGAATCTCGCGGCGACTAAAAATTATAAGCTAAGGTTAATAATAATTAACGGTTTCTAAACTTATACTTTAATAACCTCTAGGAAGAGCTTATAGCGCTCTCTAAACTCCCTACATATAGAAGCTAGATAACTACTAGAACCGCCGAGAGTCTCGCGGATACGAAGATCGTTATATATATCTTATACACGAATAGAAACCTAAAAACGCATTAGTATAGACGACTTTAGATTACCCTAGACTAAAATAGTCTAATAGACTTACCTAAAGACAAACTCTACTAAGAATAGTATAGCGGCGGTAGCGGGTAGAGAGCTTAAAGATTAGACGTATAGGCCTATCGTAGTTAGTAGAGTAGTAGCTAATACTAGAGTTAGAGCGGAAGAGATATTTAGAGCTAGTAGCGTAAGCCTTAATATACTTAAAGTATATCGAACTATAGTTCGCCGTTTTTCTATGGCGTAAACCACGACTACGTTTAGTATCTTTAGCGACCTAGGCCTTATTATTACTAGGGCTAGGTTTAAAGCGAATATTAAGGTCCTAAAAGGATCTAGAGCGACTAAGTCGGTCTATATTAGACCGAAAAGAGAAATAGCGTTTAGAGTAAGGCGGCGAAGGCGTAAACTCTTAATTATTATCTACGACGAGATCTTCTTTATCCTCTAAAGGTAGTAGAGTAGATAGATAGCGCGAGTAGATGTAGGTAGGCTTTATAGCTACCTCTTCCGCAATACTAGTACTAGAATTACCTAGATTAGAGCGACTAGTAGCCACGTTAGTAGTAATAGTAGTAGTAGTCTTAGCTACCTTCTTCTCTAACTTAGAGCGCGCCTTTATACTACTACGATAAGTGGATTTTTTAGCTAGTATAGCCGGGGTAGAGGTAATCCCTTTAGAGCGAGTCTTACGAGAGAAGGAGGTAGGCTTAGAAATAGAACTAGTATTAGATATCTATATATATATATTAGCTAGAGATCTAAGAGTAGAATACTCGTTTAGCCTTAAAGGCGATTAAAGAAGCTAAATTAGTAACCGTAATAACGCGAATGAATTATATAGAACCAGCTCTAACGAAAATAGACCACTCTAGACCCGAACGGGTCTAAACTAAAGGAGATAGTATACGAATTAATAACTTACCTTAAGAGTAAGGTAGATATACTAGAGAAGAAAATTTAGAATAAGAGAACTAAATATAAGCTTAGTTAATATAGCGGTCATATAACCCGCGGAGCTATCTCTAAGGTAGTAGCTATAAAGTAAGGGATGAGCGCGTATATAAATAAAAGTAAACTAGAGCTTAAGTTTACTAATATAAAGACTATCGATAACATTATATAGATTTAATTAGATGCGCGTATAAATATAACGCTTATAGAATTATAGATTTATATATAGCTAAGTACTTTAGGGCGAAGTATAAAAAGAAGAAGGATATTATTAGGGCTAACACTAGAATAGACTTAACTAGAATACTATGGTCTAGTATAGTCCGTGATAGGTGGACCTAGGGTAAGCTAGCTAGAATAAGCGAGACTACTATATAAGTAGGCCGTATATACTTAATTCCTACTCTTTAGAAATTAACCTCGTTAAGAGAGTAGACTACCCTTTTAAATATATTCCCGAATCCTCCTATAACCTATTAGACTACTATCCTACGTCTATAATCCTTATATTAGTATACTCGTCTTCTAACGAGTTACCCTCTATAATATATAGCTCTATATAGTAAATAGACTTAGTCTATTAGAGTATAGTAGGAGGAATAGTCTATCTAGTTAGTATAGGGAACGGTATAGAGATAGAACCTACTTACGGTACGGTCGGCTAGTTTCTAGCGCCTAGGTACGCGACGATTATTAGAGTCTTAACCCCTAGTATCTATAGCTACTACCGAGACGGCGCTAGCTTCTATAATAGAACTATTTAGACCTAGAGTACTTATAATAATAGTATAGAAGCTACGAGGTAGTATATAAGTTTACTAATATTATAGTAGCTACTATATAGTATTAAGATAGTAGGCGTAAGGGTAGTTAAGGAAGAAGAAAGTCGCTAGGCGTAGAATCTATATACTTACGTTAGAGAAAATCGTGTAGACTAGAGTAGAGCTAGTCCTAAAATAAATAATAATAATAATAAATATAGATTATATATAAGCTACTCTACTACTACTATATAACCCCTAGTCTAGAGAAGAGCTAGTTCTAAAATAGATAATAATAAAATAGAACGCGCGGTTTATATATAGACTACTATACCTTTATATAACCCGACGCGGTATACTATAATATAAGGAGTCTACCTCTACTACGTGACCGCTATAATATAACTACGAGATTCTACTACCTTATAATTATATAATCTATAATACTATAATATAAGGAATCTATCTCTACTATATAACCGCTAGAATATAACTATAATATACTACTATAGTACGACCTAATAACCTACGACGCCATAATATAAGGAATCTACCTCTACTATATAACTACTAGAATATAACTATAAAATACTACTACCTTACTAGAAGAAATATATAGCCCTACGGTTATTATATAGTATGGAAGGCCGTTCCTACAGCCCTATATGTATGTGTCCCTAGCTCGATTACATGGCTTATTATATATTTAAGGAGGGCGTTTTCCTTGGTCATTCTACTCGGCGCGCTTCCCCCATCACTAATATTCGACGATTCGACCTTTCCTTACGTTTATAGGTCTCTATAGGTATTAATTATTAGACTTAGCTATTGATAAATTAATTAAGAGTATTATATAGACCCGTCCTATCGTAAAAGAGAACTAATAAGAAGTCGTACGTTTAAAGAGAACTCATAATACCTAGGAGAGATACTTGTAAGTTCGTCGCGACTACTATACTAAGAACATAGCTATTTATAAAAGGGATATACGTAGCGATAGCTTATTATAATTTTAGAGGTCGTACCCGGACTACGAACTTATAGAGGGAGATTAGGACTCCGAAACTAGCTTAGGGGAAGTATATAGCGTGCCTAATAAGGTAGTCTAGACTTACTAGATCGAAGCTATAAGTCCGGAAAATAGAGAGTCCGGAGTCGCTAGGGGCTAGCCTCTTAAAAGTAGCCGTAAAAAGCATGCGTATACTAACACGGGTGATAGCGCGACTCAAAAATATCTTAGGGGAATAGAATATAAAATAGAGCTAGATAAAGCGGTAAAGAAGAGTTTAAAAACGATAAATATAACCTATTTAGTACTACTATAGCTGTTATTTATAAACACGGCTACACGAGTATACTACTTTAGAAACGCCTTATATAAAGATAATAATATAAGTAGAATACCATGAACCTTATATTAATAAAGACGATAGTAATAGTTTATCTTATAAAGGGATTAATTAACATAGAGAAGGGATAATAGATGTTATAGGTAGACGTATTAGGCTAACCTTTAGTTAAGGTAATCCCTTAACTAATAACCTTACCCCTAGTGTCTCTACTAGTATATCTACTACTAGTAATAGTGCGATAGGAGCTTAAAATAACGACCTAGTAACTCGTGGAGAGATACTTAACTTCTTTATAGTATTTACGCGATAAGGAAGGATAGTACCTCTATCTACCCTAGCCCCTAAGCGCTTTAAAGGAATAAATATTATAGTCTTCCTTCGGAAGTATAAGGATATATATATAAACTACGAAGTT